CAGGAGATCGAGACCATCCTGGCTAACATGGTGAAACCCCTTCTTACTAAAAATACAAAAAATTAGCTGGGAGCGTTGGAGGGCGCCTGTAGTCCCAGCTACTCGGGAAGCTGAGGCAGGAAAATCACTTGAACCCGGGAGGCGGAGCTTGCAGTGAGCTGAGATCATGCCACTGCACTCCAGCCTCAGCAACAGAGCGAGACTCCGTCTCAAAAAGAAAAGAAAGTTTAATAAACTCTTTCCAATTTGTGATTTTACGTAACGGGGTGACCTACAGAGCACCTGCCAGGTTTGGAGCCTTGCAGACCACGTGGAGACGCTTGACCAGAATGGCTGCAGAGGTCACTCTGCACTCCAGAGCCCTGTTCGGGATGCCGCTCTTCGTCCAACTCAGCCAAGTGCTCACGGCCAGCATCACTGTCCACGGCACAAAATGACACCACGGTGACACGACCGTGGTGCCCCGAGAGGACACAACTTCACCTCTAGAGTTCCTGCCAGAGGTAACTAACCTAGATCTAATCAAGAGGAAACATCCAACAAATCCTAATCGAGAGACATTCGACAAAATCACTAATGCTGTGCTCTTCAAAAACATCAATGTCACAGAAGACAAAGGCTGAGGATGGCCACACCTCAAAGGAGATCAGAGCGACGGGAGGGTTCAACGCGACACAGGGCCTACTCGGGGAAGGGCAGGAGTGATGGTGGATGAAGCCTGGAGAAGGTCGGCTGTTAGGCCACAGGTGCCGTAGCAGCGCTCACTGGGGCAGGTACAGAAGAGGATGCCTGCAGGAAAAGCGTCACCTTTGCAACTGCCCCTTGAATGCTTCAGGAGAGGGAGAGAGACTGAACATGCGGGTTTGGTGAAACAGTAATAGAGTGGGAATCTGGGAAAATGGAAATTCTCTGGACTATTTTTGTAACTTTGCTTTAATTCTCAAGTAATTTCAAAAGAAAAAGAGGCCGGGCGCGGTGACTCACGCCTGTAATCCCACACTTTGGGAGGCCGGGGCGGGTGGATCACGAGGTCAGGAGATGGAGACCATCCTGGCTAACACGGTGAAACCCCGTCTCTACTAAAAATACAAAAAACTAGCTGGGCGTGGTAGTGGGCACCTGTAGTCCCAGCTACTCAGGAGGCTGAGGCAGGAGAATGGCGTGAACCCAGGAGGCAGAGCTTGCAGTGAGCCAAAATTGGGCCACTACACTCTAGCTTGGGTGACAGAGCAAGACTCCGTCTCAAAAAAAAAGAAAAAGAAAAACATGTGTAAGCCTTCAAAACGTCCAATGCAAACCTCAACGCTAGTCTAGGCCTGTGGCCAGGCTGGGAGCGTGTGCCTTGGTCCACCACGTGGGGAGTGTGGACATGGGGAGTGTTTGGAAACCACTTCATTTTTTGAATCATTTTATGGTGTTTGATAGAAGCGCCGGTTCGTGCTGGACTGGGCCTTCACCACAGGCAGCCTGAGAAGCCTGCTCCAGACACCACTCTTCCAGCGTCTCTGCTCCTGGGGCCGTCTCTGTGTCAGTCCCGTCAGC